ATATATAACATATTTTACACAACATTTTATAAGATTCACATGCATCAGGGACCTGAGAATTCATTCTTTTAATAAAATGAATTCAGGATTTTGTCAAAACTACTTGTTATCTATTCATAACATAGAATAACAAACTTGGTCACTGCTTATCTTACAGTTCCAGCTATTAATAATCACAAATACAACAGAATCTTTTTATTGTTTAATATGGTCATGTACAATGTAACTTTAAATGAATAAAAGAATAATAAAATCCGTGATTTGCAAATGATAAAGTAGAAACATATAGACAAAAGACATACAATGACGCTAACATGTGTGTGTGTGTTTTCACCTGTAAACAACCCAGTGTGGATCCTCCTCAGACACACACAACTCACTCTCCACTGCGGGGACAGCAGGGCCGTTGAGCTGAACCCCCTCTGTGAGCAGCTTTTGGACGGTGGCCTTGACAAGACAGAATACGTTCATTTCTCAACCACAAAGGATAATAATTAAAGATGACTTCCTGTTTTGATAAATTCATAATCAAATGAGAAGGTAAGACCTCCCGCTATGGGAATGACAGCTTCTGTAGAGCCGGTAAAGCTCAGCGGCAGCAGATCAAAGAACAAAAGGAAGCGACTGGTGAGCGTTTTACTCCAGCGGCGGACAACTCAGGCAAGACGAGAGGACTGAGACGTAGGTATCTATTCAGTTCATGAATTATGACCCCAATCCTCCAAAAAAGAATACCCCGGTGTACCGTGGAACAAAGAGAGAGCTACATGAGGGGAGCGAGCATAGACGCTACAGTGCGAGTCAGTTCTGACAAGGTCATGTCGTAGCTGTGGATAGTTGTCTCCATTTTCTTCAAAGTGCTGTCAAGTTAACATCTCCGTGGACTTAATAGTGACTTGGAGCTGCAGGCTTGATGGGAAGCGGGATTACGCAATGAGACAAGCTCAGAAGACAAACACAACAATCTCTGACTCCAACAAATCAACATCTACCTCACGGGCTTGTTAAAAATCCCATAATGCATGTTTACTACTGCAAGCAGTGGAACATTACAAAAGGAGCTGAAAAAATAAAATACAATATTCCTATGATCTGAGATAGATAGAATTTTTGTCAACGTCAACACCTCGATACAAAAACATCTGTATCCACAGAAGCTTGAAATAAAGAGTTGGTAGAAGCAGGACTTTCCACTGCGCATGGTAAATGATGCACATTAACACTAATAACTGARAAGGGACACAAGCAAAGTCAGACAGCTGAAAGTTTTTATGTCTGATGCGTAGAATAAAATCAATAAATATTATCAAAAACACAGAAAAATGTGTTTGTTTCCCTGGAAGATCCACCGGTCATTCTAAGGCTCGTCTTCAGTCCCCTCTGGGTATAATCCTTCAGATTTTCATGAGTTAATTTTCCTACCATTTATGATCTGCATATTTTTAGCAATGGCCATTCAGTGTATATAGTAGATACCTTTCTACATAGTTTTAAATGTTAGTGGCAGAGTCCGCCATTCCAAAGCTGGATTCAAATTGCCTTCACGGGAATTGATACAGTACAACAACAAGTGAAGAAATGAAGGCTAAAGTGTTGTAGTGGGAATTAGGCATAATGCATACGGGAACATCCTGTTGCTTCACATTAAAAAGGTACAGTGTGTAGCATTTAAGGGGATCCATTGGCATAAATGTATCTGTGATATCTATAATATAATATTAATATGTTTTCTTTGGTGTAAACTCGCCTGAAAATAAGAATTTTGTAGTTCTCCTGCCCGCTTGGTTTTAGTTGGTTACGGTCTGCAACCTCACGGCCAGTTACTACACACTGGACCTTTAAGTGTTTCCACGGAGTGGCTTTTACTGTGAAGAAGCCACAGGGAAAGCAATGCTCTTTGGGCTGACCATGATCATTCATCAAATAAAAAAAAGATCGTCTACAGAACAGACAACAGGGGAGTAATGGAACAAAAAGGAGCCGAGAGCTCGAAGAGCTTTTGACCTGCTTTCTGCGTACACGCAGTAATGCAACCATGTTTGTACAACAGGAGCAAATGTGAAACCTGTTTATGTGGATTGCTCCTGCAAGAACATATGAAAAGTGTGTTTGTGTTAGTCGTCACACACCTCAGCACTGATGAAGCGGATTTCGGCAAAAAGCCGCAGCAAGTCCCTCACGCAGGTTTGGCTTCGATTGCAACCGTGAAGAGGTTCTGCACCGCTTTCCTCCTCCGAGGACCTGCATTCTGGATCAAATTCACAAAATCTGTGACGCAAATTCTCTCAATGAAACCAATCGTCTCCCTCTTGTATGTATAACTAATTCAGATACCACTACTATTTCCTGTCCATCACTCCGATATTGAGGAATAGTACCGTCGGTCTCGGAGATCTTCCATCTGCCGTCGTCGTAGAGCAAACAGAATCGACAAGCAGCTCGGCACACATCCCACACTTCCTGTTTCCTGGCCGTCTTCACCAGCGTTGCCCACAGCTTCACTCTGGAGCAACAAAAAAATAAATAAAGAACACTTAAGAGATGATTAAAAAGGTGGAGATCAGGGCAAGGGCAAAGCAGCACACTGTACATGATTTAAGGTTGTTTTTTTTGCCGTGCCATGAATAACAAACTTTTCCTTTGGGGAATCTTCAAGTCAAGCCTCTTGCCCTCTCCGGCCCATTAAGCTTGCAATGTCTCATGTGCACACTTTTTTACTGTAATGATGTTGGTAGACAGGCAGCCTCAACTACGCACTGTGAATGTAAAAGAAGGTTGTAGAGTCTACAGTCACACAACAACTTTAACTGTAGAGAGGATCAAAAGACACCAAGGCATACAAACCTGCTTAAGCTGGGTTTCTGGGAAGCCTGACAGCTAAAAAAAAGTAATTTCTAAGAAGACTTGACAGGAAGACTTCCCTTGTATTCAAGAACATACATGTACAATCACAATGAATACATGTAAATGTACAAACACACACCTCTCTGTGTTGTCTGTGTCATCTCCCTGTCTGGCCAGGTGTCCGTCCAGCTTCCGCACAGATGTAGAGTGATGCTGCGCCTTCGCAGAGAGCTGAGCCACTGGTCCAGATCCTAGACCGCCTACGGGAACTAGACAATTGTTGGAAGACTGAATACATAAGTCGATTAATGCTACTGGAAAAGCTCCAGCGTTTTCGCTAAATAATGATTCAATACAATTTTCCGGCAAGTATGCATAACAAAAACTTGAGTCAGTCTGTTACACAACTCCTTAGGCCTAAAGGATGCATAAAACATGGAATAAATGTGCACTAATGTAGGTAGTGAGAATGTTATCCTTTCGAGGAAGTTACAGAATGAGCCTTATTATGCCACTTCCACGTAAGAAAGGAACGACTACTAAGGGACCCCGAGAGTAAGTGGCCCATTTCCAGCATCGCAACGTCACAGACTGCGATGTAATCATGTCGACAAGTAAGAAAACAAAACAAAAAGCAAAACAACGGAGCATGATCCAGATTTTTAGTCACACCCGCAGCAACAGAGTTATTCAAAGCATTTGTTTTATGGACTGAACTACAAAAAGAGGTCTGTGACTTTGACTGGCGTGTTTTAAAGAAGCAGAACGCTCCAGAGCCTGCACGCTCACCAAAGCAATAAAAGGCTGTACGCAGCCGCTCTCATGCACGTGCCTCTCGTTGATGTCCATCTGAGGTACAACACAACATTGTGGCAACAATACAAGCTACAATTAATTTTAAAAAAAAATACTTGGCGTGCTGGCTTTGAGGCACCGCACACGACGGTTAAGTGTCGTCATCTAGGGGACGCTTGAGGTTCATAGACAAAACCAAGAGGGGCTTCTACGGACCAAAGGGGCCCTTTTGACTAGCTGACAAAAAGGCTGAGGGGAGTTCTTTCCTGGGTCATTAGACTGCTGAATGTTCATTTGATGCTGCGGGCCAAGGCGCATGGAATAAGTGTGAGATCAAAGGGCCCTCTGCTGCATGATCCAGTGCACACAGTCGAGGTTTTTTGCAAAACCTGGCAAGTTCGACGCCGCCACTGAACGATCTTTTGTCGAGACATGAAGTCTCAGGGGACAAATTCACACACGAGACAGCGCACACGCCAGGTTTGGCTCTGTGACGTTGGTTCCTATTCTCATTCACAAGCTGTGCGTAATCAGTGCCTACTTTACTGAGACAGCAGCCCGTTACACAATCAGCGCAGAGAACCGCCATCAGGCTGCATTCTGGGAGCTCCGTCGGATCAGAACAGTGGGGTTTGTCCGAGATCGCAGAGTGTAGAAAATAAAATCATATACTCATTACTGGACTTAATTACGAATTCTAAAACATGGACTAATGCCACAGTTCAACAGCTAACATCAATGTTTTATTAGTCAATAGTTTATAGTATGGCCTGATCTGTACGCCTATCATTTCATTAATGCAACGGGGCTTTCCCTGATGCCATGAAATAGTCAGATACTTCTCATTCCCCCTTAAATGTATATGCATAAAGGAGAAAAGTGCACTTTACCCATGATAATAGGGGAATATGGGGGAATATTCTTCCAAAGTTTAATGACGTGTGATTCCCGGTGCGTAAACAAAGGCTTAGTCAATATGGATGTGTTTAAAGCTAACAGATGAATATTTCTTCTGACAAACAGCACGTGTGTTGAGTAAATGTTGTCGTGTCTCTGTGAAAACTGAAAGCAAGAAGAGAAATGTGTACTTTTGGAGGTGTCGTCAGCATCCAGCACCATCTGGAAATGGTCAGGGGCCAAAAGCTGACCCACGGAGACCAGGACGGGACGGCTGTCCGTCCTGTCTTGGGGCTGCATGTCCCTGGCCTGAGGACGGGAAGGAAGGGTTGGATGTCAGACTTAACTTGTAGCCATTACTAGGCACACTCCTCTTCTCACCATACATAAAAACACACTGAATTTAAGTTCTCCTTGCCTGTACCCATGTATGACTTCTGTATGTTTTTACATAAAATAAGCATCCGCTTGTTAAGTTTTAAAGAACCGCTTCATTTTGTAATGTTAAGACTGTCTGACACAGACGGGCTGCAAACCTGCTGCATAAGCATATCGGCTTTATCCTCAGCCCGGGGGGGCGATTGGTAGAGGGTGCCCCTGAGCTGCAGGAGGCGGAGAGCTGACGACAGGCGCTCTTGTCGCGTCCCGTTATCCAGCAGCAGGGCTTTCTGAAGGTGAGTCAAAGAAGCCTCAAGGCGCCCGTCCTCCTCTTCAATCGCTGCCAGCTCCGAGTGGACTTGACAGCGCGTCTCCAGCAGCGCACTGTGAAAATAGCAAACAAACACTCCCAGCATAAACTCGTACATTATAAATGACGACAAATCTGTAGGTGTGATACCACAGTTCAAAATTGGGAGACAGTACTTCATCGTCATCTTGAAAAGTACCTAAATGTTGGCTCTCTGTAAATGTTACGAGAATACAACAGTGAACAAAAATATTTCGGACCATAAATCATCATAATAGCATTTTTCTAGATCCAAATGTCAAACACAAACATATAGTGCATTTAAAAAAAAAAAAAATCTGACTCTGCAATCCCTCAAAAACCAACAAACTATGATATGTTATTGCATTCCAACACAGGTTGAGCTATAATATAACAGAGCCACCATAACATGCAGTATACTGTATGTAAAGTGGATTTGAGGAAACTGTAAACCTTTGAATGTCTTCCAGGACTTGGGCCACCCTGAGCAGAGGCGTCCTGATGCGTTTCCTGAGGTTGTGCTGCATGAGGGGCAGACAGGAGCTCCACTGCGCGGCACACACCGCCTGCGCAGCCTGAGGGTCCCCCTCCCTCACCGCCGTCTGCAGCCACTGATCCAGCTTGCCTATCTCCTTCAGCCGGGCCTGTGGGATCAAGACTATAGATTGAGAGCGTCTCTCCTGTAGCAACGAGAGCATGACACTTCTATCATTTGGCAAGTGCACTTGAACTGTATTAAATACGGGGTGCCAATTCTTACATTTCCAAGCCAAAATATTAAATGGTGCAACATGAGATTACAGAGTCCTCCTTCCCTCGAGATTAAATTTTTTTTTTTTCCAGAGAGGAAAAACTGATGATTAAAGTTGTCAGCTGAAACTCTACGCGCTGCTAGCTGGGTTAGCAGCTTTCAGGCAGAGATACCTAGAATGTAAGGATGTACTGCCTTCAGACAGAGAATGAGATTACAGAAAATATTACAGAACAGTTAATCACGACTCCGCCAATGGGTCCACCGCCCGCATCATATGCTGGCGGGAACGCACGGCTGTATGATCGAGCACCTCCACGCTGGCTTTGGAGTAGTCGTTCGTCTTCCCCTCTCTCTTCTGGAGGTTGACGTCACAGCTGACACATTCCATTATTACGCGCTGGCCAAGACTCTGAAAAGACAAAAGCACATACGTGTGGTTACAAGAGTCGGTGCTCAGCGGCGCACAGAAGAGAGGGTGACACATCTATAAGGGTAGTCATGTTTTTATGCCAAGAGTTTCTTGCATGTGCAACGTTGCCAATTGTGTTATCATTTCACTTAATTCACAATACGAGCAAAATGGTCAAATTTGTGAAAACACTACACACCTTTCTATTAAATTAATCTTACATTATTGAAAGTAAGTGCAGCAACCTCTTAAGCTCTTGGGCGTGAGCTCAGCTAATTGATTTCATCTATTAGTGCCTACTTAAGAGTGGATGTCAGAATCCGTGCATGCATTTGCATGTATGTACGGTTACAGTGTGTAGCCTCTGAGGTTACACTCACAGTCTCTCCCGCCGACCTCAGCTCCTTCAAACAGTCGACAGCTACTTCGTGACGCTTCACTCGCAAGGCCAGCAGAGCCAACTCCAGGAGGAGGGAGACTCTGCAAATCCCAGATAAAAACATAATTTATACAATTCCAAGTAGAGTAATCCGGGCCGTGCTCTGCCCCTCGGGTTATCCATGGTTGTGTGTTAGTAAGAGGACAGGGAAGGACATTTGTTCGGATCACTTGGGGCCACAGACCTGTCAGCTGGTTGGATGGGTGTCGGGCTCTGAGGAGGACTGGAGTTCACAGCTGCAGCAGATGCTTCGGTGCAATCCATCAGGAGACGAAAGATCTGCTCGAGCTCCTCTTTTGTTGGTTCGACCTCATTTATTTCTTCTAACTTGCTGTTTGTACAACATGAAAGAAAAAACCTGTTTGTTAATTAAAAATACATAAACGTATGCACCCAAGAGTATGCATGCATCTGCATTTTCCTCGTGATATACTCACACTAAACAGTGCATTAGCCTCAGGCAAAATGAGGTATATGAAGCCGACGATGGCTGGGTCACACCGACTCATGCTGCTGACGTTTAAAGATGAGCTAGAGAGCCATAAGGAGCTCTGACATGTCGAGTACATGCCTGCAGAAAAGGGACTGGGTTTGTACGATGCCACACCAGGAGCCGTGGTACTATACCATTACTGTGTGCAGGCAGCCAGATAAACCTGCCCACTGGGGGACGCCGCGGGCTTATTAACCGAGGGCCTGTGGATCGAGTTTAATGTTTGAGTAGCTTCCAAGTTCGCTGAAGGCAAACAAACGTCAGAATCCAAAATGCACCAATATCCCTGTGAGTCCTACAAGCTTAAGAAAGCGTGGCAAATATAAACTAGAAGTACCGCCTCCCGGTTGTGTGCCATCACGTTATCCTCTTAGACATTTGTGTGAAATTGTCATCATTAGCATATGAATTCTTGAGTTATGGCCAAAATAATAGTTTGTGAGCCAAATTTGAAAATAATTTGCTCAAGGCGTTCCTGAGATATCACATCCACAAGAATGGGAAACATAATACACTCTGTAGGTTACAAACACAGAATAGTGAAACTGGTAAGTTGGTAGGACCATTAATAAGGTCATACTTAATAAAGGTCATGGCTGAACCTGCCTGTAGTATTAGCAGGGAGCACTCTAAAAACACAAACATCCAATCAATAAATAAAGCATTTTCTTCCAAACAGTTTTGCAGTTTCTTGCTACAGTACAACGTCTTCATCTTAACGGCAGAAAACACTTTTACTTAAATATAGCAAAGAAAATGTCCGTACTTTTTTAATTCCTGTATTCTGTAAATGACTGCCAAGGTAGTACACTGCCTGCTCAGTTCAATGAGGACATCCCTCTCTGTCAGCTTGTGTTGTACCTGAGGAGAGAAGAGTAAAGGTAGAAGTTCATTTCTATTCATCATCCCCAAATGCTTCACTAAAAGCTCTGCTGTATTTCACATTAAACACAGTTAGGTGCATGAAAGGTAGTCTTGTTTGAGATTGTGTGATCCCAACACTTCCATTAACTCCAGAGCGCCGTTAATTCCAAAATGTATTGAAGAAAACTAACTCTTGAAATATATGCCACGCCAAAATGAAATGAAACTCCGTTCACCAGTAACGTAAAGAGTCTCGGATAGAGATGTGGGATGTGAGACTTCATGAATTCTTCTGTAACTTTGGCAAAACTTGCAGCATCTTCCATTTCACCGGCGTCCACGAGACATTTAATAAGATGCCTGAGCAGAAACAGAGAGAACACGAGACTGATACTACTTTAGTGTGAAAGAACAGTGTTTTGCAATGCTTACTGGGATATTTCCACAAAATATGGACATTGTTCTCCACAACGATATATAAGCAAAGTTCCCAGGTTAGTATTTTACATACAAGTATGGAAACCAGAGTGCTACGGTCACAGATGAGCTGCTGGTTAATTAGCTCTGTGCGTCACCAGCATGAGACCCGACTGAATCAGGACTGGACTTATTCATGAAAGAGAAATAAGAGAGCATCGAGGGGCCACTTGCATCATGAGCTCAGCCCTCCAGCTGTGGTCCCGGTCTGCCACCTCGTCCAGACTTTGGACCACCTGCCCGAGGGAGGGGACCAGGCGGCGGCACCGCCCCGGCTGCAGGAGAGGACGCACTGTCTGGAGGTACAGCACCGAGGCGTTGAACGCTAGGAAGAAGTATCTGTGAGAAACAAAACGGATGCAAAATAATTTAACAGAGAAAAAGCTGAATTATTCACATGATCTGCACGGGCAAGCCATTTGATCTCTTGGAACAACTCAATTCAGACCAAGTGTCAACTCTGTATGGAGAAGTTCTGTGGATTGCAAATGTGTGTGGATCAACCATCGTCCAATGGGCCTCAGGAGAGCCCCCCGTAGGAGCCTTTCTATGTAAAATGAGGGAAATTTATGAAACCAAGGCGCTGTTTTAGAGGAAATTGTGTGAACGGGCCGTTTGAGTGCTGCTAATTGATACACCAGAGAGTGCGTTGTGCATTAGTCTGGGCTGGATGTATTAGAAACATATTCCCTTTGGTGTTAATTGGGATTGCTCATTCAGCCCTTTTATTGACAGGTTATGAGTTCATTAGCGAAGAGAGTCGGCGCCGCTCGCTCGCAAAGGCCGCTATCTCCCGATGCGTCGTTCTTCAAATGTCACAATTTCTATCATCACATCTATATTCATCATCCTTTTCTCCCTGCTCGCAGATTAAGAAGAAAACATGCTGAATATCATCCACCTGTGGGGTGAAGTGTGAAGAATCATGTCACATTTCAACTGTATTCTTCAAACCTTGATGCCGCAGAATATATCTAACCCTCATAACCTATCATAGCTATAACAAAAGAAGAACATTCCCTGTTTGGAATATTTCATGTTCATTGTGTGCAAGCAATAGCAGCAATGAGAAGCCGTGCGTGGCATGAAACTGGTCAACTTTCTTGACACTGTTAGAAAAAAAACAAACGCACTGGAGGTAACGTACCTTGGTTCATGCTTTGAAATTTCAATTGCTTTAAGAAAACACAGCACAGCCTCTTCAAAGTCTCCCTGAAATAGAAAATAGTGCAAAAGACTTTGTCACAAACAAAGATCAGAGAAGGAAACTCTTCAATAGAGCCCACAGTTTGATAAAACACCAAGAAAAACTGCACTTAAGTGTGAAAAGACAAAGGGTAATGTGCCTTGAAGAATCACATTGTGAAGAAAAGTAGTTTACGAAGCGGGGACATCTGCTCCTTTTACAGTGCAAAACAGTATATTTCTAAAGTAACTGTGTATGTGTGTGTATCCTATTGGCAAAGAAACACACATACACACAACCCCCCTTGAGGAGATGTGTCCACTTTGGTGTCCTCACCACACTGCCAGTGGCCGGCGGAGACTTCAGCTGGCCCCGGCAGAGGTAGGCTCGACACAAAAATTGATTAGCCGGCGGATTCCCTTCAAAGTACATCTTTAGACACGCTGTGCTTATCTCCAAACAGCCCAGCTGAGAAAAAAAAAACATATTTAGACCTCATCAGCTGTTACGTTGTGTCACCAGCATTTTTCTAAATTTGATGCGGTATTAAAACAACTCAGAAATGACTTGATGCGTCGTGTGATGCGCATCGATTTTACGCATGTCGAAAAACATTATCCTGACTGCAGGTTTTTGCCCTTGAGCATGTCAGTACTGTACTTGTTAGATGAACTCACTCTGGGTAGTTTTCATTCAAGGAATTGTAGCGCTGTCAGGAGAGATCATTCGTAACAGAAATGTTGTAAACTGTAAGCTTTTAATCGTGTTATCGTTAAGCATTTCATTGTTTCTCATGCTGGAAGATGATAAAACAAGTGAAACGTAACAGTGACGCACAGTGGCATCAGTATCTGAGAAAACGTTAGAAAAATGTCTCAATGCAACAGGAATATTCATATTCATCTAACAACTGAGGACTATTGTGATGTGGTCCTGCTGGGGATGTGGACTCATTCAGTATTCAAACAGGCCTGAGACTTAAAGGCAAGCTGCTTTTTCACTGAGGAGCCTCGCTGTACCACATAAAAAAAGAGAGAACAGATCACATTATGGAATATCACTGTGCTCCATTATTCAAATAAGCTTCCACTGCCCTAGGACACTTCAGTCGACATTAGTGAATATTCATTATTATCCTGTCCTACTGGGAGAATAGTTAGATTAAGCTAACTAAAGTTACTGTATGAAAATAGTGACATAATGGCATTTGTGATATGACTCTTCTAGCACAGTTGCTGCAGAGGTTTTTATTCAAATGATTTTCTGTATCAGTACCTTTAGATGCTGCCATCAACAAAGCATTTATGTCAATCAACGTAGAACCCCGAAAAGGATTTCTGCTTTATTTACTCAAACCAAATAAAATGTGATATGTGACCTAGTAGCTTAATTCCTTTAGTAGAATTTGCCAAAAAGAAATAAACCTCAGGTGTCATTGGCATTACAATAGCACTTTTGGCATGACTAGTTAGATCTTAAACTTGATTAAACGTGATTTAAGTCAATAATTACAATAACAATATCTTGTAGGCTTTATTTGTCGGCCATTTTTAACAGTGCAGACAAAACTAGGCCTGTGACTATCTCATCCTAACTCGAGGATAATATAAAACTTACATTTCTGTGGGACATTGTTTCCAAAGAACACACATGGTCTCAGAAAATACACACAGCCTTTTTATTATTATTTATTTATTTGACCCTGCTGAATCTACGACGACATGGTTTGGCTACATTAACAGGTAACGATTTACTGCCCCCGGTCTCACCTGTAGAGCTGCTTCTGCACAAACGACGTATAACTCCGGGGCAATACGTGGAGTTCGTCCGCTGGTTCCAACCACCGCCACGTTCTCAAGTAAACGGTAAGCTGACTGCAGAGCTCCAGAGTCTACGTGAAGTGACGTTACATGACGTTAAACACAGCGAAGGCACATTTTAATAACTCGTTAAAGCTGAAAGTGCTCCTGAATGAACGTCAGTACAATACAAACCTTGTCGCTCCTTTGCCTCGGTGAGATACTGACGAATATCCCGCTCCATGCCGGGAGAACGTTAACTGTCGTCAGCTAATGCCTTTGTGCTAAAAATGAGCTAATGTTCGCTAGCTACAACTAATTAGGTTAGGACAGCCAGTTACGCTATTGTTCGCGCTAAATTACCCCATTTAAAACTGTAACGTTACAGGTGTGTGAAAGTTGTTACGTCGGTCAACAAGAATTTCAAAACTGCTTGAATATTAGAAAAGCAATAAGTCTGTACGTTGCATTTTCAACGTCAATGTAAATATGCCACATATTAGTGTATTTAATTAACAACTAACCCTGTGTCGACGTCAAATGCTGGACAGAGCCACCATCCGTGTTTGTAGTTAGGGAGCGTTACCAAGCAACACAAGAACCGGATGAGACTACGGTAAACGAATAGGACCAAAAAGGTTGACACTTGTTTGTATTGATTGCCTACAAACTTGAGTTCAAACAACTCACTGTAGTCTCTAAAGTCAAATTAAATAGACTTTTTTTTTTACATCTCTCTCTCTCTCTCTCTCTCTCTCTCTCTCTCTCTCTCTCTCTCTCTCTCTCTCTCTCTCTCCCCCTCACTCTCTGACTCACACAAAGCACCTATTTAGGCTCCTGGTCCCAACGCTTCTTAACTTCAAAGTGCATCACTAGAAATCAGGCCACTCGGTGTGCAAAAATAAGTTACTTGGTCAAACCAAATACTGTTACTGATGTGATGGGAGAAAATCGTGAGGCAAGGCAAACTACAGTGGCACTCCCTGCCATGGACTCGGGGTTCCTAGTTAGAGGGTTAATTGACAGAAAGATGTATTACCTGCCAGAATTTCAAAGCAGCATAGATAGCTCCTCAGTGGCCCTCAAGCAAAGTTGTTGAGCAATTCTTTGTGGGACCGGTCTAAATATACACACAGAGAGTATATTCACCCTTTGGGATTGCTTTAAATATATAATATATTATTATTTGCTGGAAGAGTCACTTAACCTACTTAATGGTTTTAGTTGGTGCTTTTATTTGTTGTTTAAAATGTCACAGCCATCAAAGCAGCGCTTTTGCTGATAGGCAGCAGTTTAATGTGCGCTCAGTGTTGAGTTGCAGAGGGAAACACCAATATGCTGGACTCCTGGTCATTTCAGACAAATTACTGTGTAACCCTGACCCTCTGAACATGATTTAGTCAGGTGTACTTATACATATATGTGATGTAAGATCTTTTTTCAGTGCATAATACCTACAATTTCAGATACAACCATGGTCATTTTCTCCTGCCACCTATACTGTAAGTGCCCATTTAAACAGATGAAGACATAACATGCACAATCTGCCTCTGTAGGATTAAGGTACAGGACAAATAGTTTTGTTTCATGTTGGTGACATAATCAATTCATAGCAGAGGAGGGTGTGGCTGGCTTCACAAAGCCCGCAGCCAGGCAAATCTGGCCAACACAGATGGTGCTATATGAAGATGAATAGGCTCTTAAAATGCTAAATGTGTTTGTTCAGGCTGTCATCCAGTATATTGCAACAATACACCTGCCCAGCTGTAAAGCTTTCACAAATCTTTACTGCTGTATAATCCTATGAAATGGGATTGAAATGGGATTTAAACAATGTAATGAATTGCTGTAATCTCACAAAATTCTATCAATATCTGTCGATATGAACAGAGATGAAAATATAGAATCCAGAGCCAAGGCTTCAACATGTTTCGTCATGAAAAACCTCATCTTCTTCCATGTATCATAGTTACAGTGTAAAACAGATTATGTCCCAGGAAAGACAACCAGATCATTTTCACTTTGTCCACAACATTTGACTTGAATTCACTGCCACTGGAGCTGCCCCAGGAATGGCTCACATCCACAAAGAAAGACTTAACTTTCTCGGATTACATGAATAACAAGCCTGGACTCTTTCAGAATTTAATTTAACAAACTATAGAGTGAGTTGAAGCTCCATCCAATGAAAGAATGTTAAGCTTCCGTCAGGGCTAAACAGCAGCTTTTTAAAAACTCAATTCATCTCCTGTTTACACATCATTCTTAATACTATCGTGCTGCAACGCAGCACACGTTTGGGTCGCGGCCTCTTGTTAATTGAGAACGGAAAAATTGAAACGCCATGAAGTGATAATCCGTGAGCTGTGTCTGTGAGGTACCTCTGGACCATTGCGTGGACGAGAGATGCGTCTAATGAGGATGTAACCACATGTCACAATTTTGTCAGAAGCGCCGACGCACCCCAAGGCGGAGAACAAAGACAAAACAAAGCACCACCAGCAGCGAAATGGAGTTAATCACCCCAAACATTTTCCAGAGACGCACAGAAGCAAAAGCCCAGAAGGCTGTTGTTGCTCCTGTGTTTCACACCGGAAAGCTCATTGCAAACAAGCATTCAGATCAGCAAGAAGATCAGAACAGATTTGTCACATAGCTGTTGATCTTTTTTTGTTTTTTTTATTCCAGTACTTGGCAGTTATAATGAAACTGTTCACTCTTACAGGCATGTTCAAACTTCATACGAAAATATTTGTTTGCGTCGAGCTACGCACATGCACAGTTCACCTCTCATTCATAATGAATCAAAGCCATTGTGTGGAAGAAACTCTTTTTGCATTATCCAGCCCCCTGATGGGATAACTTCCAACATCTCTGAAAATCCCCACAACACCAGCATATCCTTAAGATGTTAAATCAGGAGGGTGAGATCAATTATTGATCGACTCTCAAATGGTTATCAATAATTGAGCGTTTTGCACATGTGAAGCCCACATACACAGGAATGGTGGCAAGCATGAGCCCAAATCATACGACCTGGTTGTTTCTCTACATACATGCAAGTCCTACTACACTTTATGTGAATGTATGAAGAAGTACCAAATGTCTTGCTTTAGGACTTAAAGCCAAACAGCTTGTATCTTTCATCTCTGATTGCACAGAGAGATTTCTTTGTGAGTCTACTGCAATAGAGGGCAATGCTTAGAAATAGCTTTTCACTAAGATTATCAAACAAATGAGACAAAAAAAGTTTGTAAAATTTGTGAATTTAGTGAAATGTTATCAATATTGTATTCATAAGATGGGGGGTGTCTTAAAAGCTCATTAAAAAATAACTCGTGCCAAGGTTTACGCTGGTCTGAATAACACCACCTCCCCAGTGAGTTACAGGAATTTAACTAAGATTGAGAGCTTAGATCAAATCATTCTCACACCAATGTCAAAATAATGCAGCTGTGCTTCAAAGCTTCAAACTATCACGCTTTATATTCCGCTTTGCACGTGTCAGTGATGGCGTGTCAATAACCTCTTGTTGCATGTATCGTGTCTTTTTCAGAATAAAAGTCTCAGGTTCAGGGAAAAGAGCGCCGTTGACGTTAAGGCCATAGTTGGAGTTGTATAAGCCTTCATTATACTGAGAGGTGTTTCTAATATTTTGCCCTCCTACATTATAAAAGGGGAGTGGTCTTATCTGTTTCCTATACATGGCAACATTTGCTATTAAGTACTAAACACAAAGTACAGCTTAAAGGCTGATGGGAATGCCTTAGTTTTAGCATGTATATTTTGTCTGGTAAACCACAAATGTAAACTTCACGGTGGCACGAGAGGAAAAGTTAGAGCAGCACCAAATTCAAAAGGCCTCATCCTCAGGGGACCATGAACATTGGCACCAAATTTCACCAAATTTTGCATATTTGTTGGGATATTTCAACCTGGACAAATGTGGTGGACCGACGGACATTCCGAAAGCTACGTTGCTAGCATAGCTAATAACACACCCAAGCCTGTATACTATACACATGCACACGCACAGGGAGTGGTGACGACAAGTGTTTACTGCACCATCGAGTAGCTAATCGGCAGGACCACCACTCATTTAAGATGTACTCAATCAGCACCGGATTTTAAACGGATATACGGGTGTTAGTGGTTTAAATGAACGCATCCAAAATTCGCGGTGCATTTGCAGAGAAAGCCCACAAGACATAGAGTAGCAACAGTCATTGATTGGATAGAGAGCCTCAGGCTAAATGTCTGACTGGCCAAACAAAAATGTGGCAAACTATTGGTGTCATGATGTCTGTTTTTATTATTATCTTAGTATTATACTTGTGTATTTATTATGTTCACTTCCCAGTATGAGGTTCTCTATTAAATAGGTGTAATTGGTAATGTGAACCCTTCTTTGGATTATTTTACATCCATTTGTTACACCTCATAGCAGTTTTGGCGCACAATACCACCCTAAGGAATGCGCCATCATCATTTTTTCCCCTCAAGGTTTATGTAATCTAAACACTGAGTGGGTTAATGTTGCATTCCCTCTGAATTTGTACCCAGCAGTTTGTATGTGTCCTGTGCTCCTCAAGTGTCCTACTTTATGCACATTAGGCAAACACACTTTCAGGATGACGTGACTTCCCGATCTGCAAGCTTAAACAATTTGACATTTGAAAGTAATCTGGCCTGTCAGAGCTGGACCGTCAGACGCACAGTTTCTTATCTACGCAAGCATGTGCTCAAACGGCTAATGAGGGTATTGACTCACTGCTTACGCTCTCATCGGAGATGACGGTTGCCACTGATTTGTTAAAACATCATCGGCTTGGGGATTGGATTTGATGGCACCCTGGATGCGTACTTAGCAATAACTGACACGATGCCCAATCCTTCACAGTATGCATCTGCTGATGTAGTTACACTCCATAGCAATTAGCCAATAACATCAAGTTGAACCGATGACAAATGAGCACACTCGAGCTGCATCGCTGCATATTTACATGTATGCTCGCATTCGTTTTTTGAGGTAGATTTAATGTATGCCAGCTGAATGCATACACTATGTTGAGGCTTTGCTAGTACTTGTAAATCAATGGTAAAATAATACATGCAAGTACATGCAGTTTTACATCCTACTGATGTCCATGGTGCTTCACATTTCGCTGCACAAGCCTCCAAAGTAACGTGTTATCTTGTTCCAATGCAAAAAAAATAAAAACATGTCTGCTCTGGCAAAGTCTTTACTAAGACACTTCAGTCATCACTCAACAGTTTTAGTTCCCGGCTTTGCTGCAATTGCTCAACAGACTGATTAGAAAGCCCTAATGCGTCTGATTGAGCTTGATGATCCATTGGGAAATGATTAATCAGTTGTACTGTGAAAGATGGATGAGATGTTTTATTCACCAGATGTGTTTCAGCCACACCAGAGGCGTGACTCTCGGGACGGCAATTTAGTCTGTTGGTGTAACACATTGGAACAGAGTGATATCGGATAACTTCTGGATGGATTGCCATCACAATTGGTCTGTTTATGGCCCACAAAGATGGATTCTAGTGGGTTGATCAAGC